GCCCCCGCAGGCCGCTCCTGCCCCACGCCACAGCGGCCCCTTCCTGCCCGCTCCGGCACGCGCACTTGCTGAGAACCCACAAGGCCCCACCTTCCAGCTCATGCACCTGCCCCGCAGATGCACACGCACCTGCCGGCACAAGGACTTGTACCGCACCTGCCAGGCCCCACCCGCCTGCCCACGCACACGCAACTGTCCCGACATGCACCTGCCCCGCACCTGCTGGGCCCCACCTATCTCAAACGCACTGGGCCTTGACTGCTGGGCTCAACCTGCCCTTCACCCGCACCTTCGGGGCCGCTCCCATCCCGCACCTACCCGCCAGCAGCCGAGCAAACACGCTCCTGGGCGCCGGTGGTTTAAATGTCTGGTGGTTTGGGTCCGGTCGGCCGCAAGATCCTGGGAGGCAGTCGCGCAGACCCCCGAGGGTTTCTCTGGGAAAACTCGGCCTTATGCTTGGCTTCCCGGGACGGAGGAGGGGACGTGCCTGGCCTGGGTGCGAGGCTGGGTGGCCTCGGAACCAGCTTCCCGAAGCCAGCAGCGAGGGATGTCCCTGGGCCTGGCCTGGTGGAGGGGGTGTCTGTCTGGCCACCACGCCAGCCCCAAAGAGAGCACCCGTGCTGAGTTCCAGAAGTCCAGAGGGGACCTGGCACTCAAGGGCCACGGGGCCTCTCCAGGGCAGGTTAGCCAGGTCCCCAGGGCGACGTGGTCCCTTTGTGGGGAAGGGTGGATGCCACCCCTGGGAGACAGGGATCCAAGAGCTGGAATGTCCAGGGAGTTGGGCTGCTGTCAGATGGCCAGGGGGAGTTGGCTGTGTGGCTGTGCTGGTCAGTAAAAGTAGCGGACGCTGTGCTGCTAGTGCAGTTCGGTGGAACGAGGTGGACGATTCTGAAATCAGCCCTGTTATCGGTGGGTTGTTAAAATTCATAAATCAACGATAGAGTGCGGGTGGATTCAATAAAGGATGATAGAGGACTGGGTGTCTGTTTGCAAAACAAATGCTTTTGAACTCTCACTTGGCGTTCACCTGTGAAAATACCTCCCAACCGGGTTAATTAGAACTTAGGGGGAAAGGAGGACATGGGACGTACGCGTGCAATCAGGAGACCGCATGGAGAGCGCTCCTAAACACAGGCACAAGATGAGTCCCACGGAAAAGACAAGAATTCCAGACCTGGCGCCTGTCTTGCCCACATGGCCCTCTCGTTTTCTTGTTTAATGTCGTCCAGGGACAGAATCCTTGACATGGCCCGGACCAGCTCCTCCACCTCCTCTGGTCCTGTCTTGTCATCTCCAGTGCTGAGGCCCAAGTTGCCCCTTGACACCCGCTTCCTCCACCTCACAGCCCTCCCAGACCCGTGCCATCTGCATTACTTCATCCCTGTGAGTGGTACAGTGATGGTCGAACGTAAATCAGGCTCCATGTCCCCTGTGCCAAACCCTGGAAGGCTTGTCACTGCACTGCAGAGGACATGCAGGCTCCTCCCGCAGCCAGAGAGTCTGCACCACCCGCCAGCCTCCCATCCTGCTGGGCGCC